ATAATTGCACTAGAGAAAACCATTTTCTGAGGGTGACTCCTCAGAGTTGTGGCCTGTATGAATGGTTGTAGTGGGAACAGTAGGGCAAATAAGGGATCTTAAAAAAAACCAGAGGGTAAATGAAGGAAGAGAAGGATTAAGTAAAACTGACCTGCAATTATACGTGAGATTTGGCACGGAAAATCTGTAGGACATTTCAACAAACAGTAGATGGGCACCAAAATAAGAGGTTAGGCACAAGCTGCTGTGACCCATCCGAATCCAAGAGAGTGATACAAAAGTATACAACCCAAGGTCCCACCACTAGCACACGCAATAATGGATTTAACTGAATGTTTCGTGTATTAATTACTAATCTAATTTTATTTTAATTTAAAATATTAGTTTTTTTAAATAGTGTGTAAATTTTATAAAATATTTTAAAATAATTTATTATATAAAATTTTTATTAGTTTTAACAAAAAAATTAAATCAAAATTAAAATAAAATAATCTTAACTAGTAAAGTAATTTATGATAAATTGTGTAAGTTAATAAAATATATCAAAATTTATAATTTCTATAATAAAAGAGAATTATTAAAAAAATAAAACAGTATGTGATAAAAATTATAATTTTTTAAACAGTTAAAGGAAATTTATTATCTTTACAAAATTAATTTTAGGAATTAGTTGATCAGCCTTATCTCTTAAAAATTAAGAAAAAAGGCATCCCAAAACTACATAATTTTAATAAAGTATTATAAAAAATGATAAAAAATATTTTAATTTATATTTAAAAAATTAAGTAATTTTTCAATAGGGATTTATTGAAACGACGTAATTTTGAAATGATTTTCCTTTTAATCTTTAAAAAGTAAGGCTGATAAGTACTATTTTTTTAATTTTATCTTAAAATTATTTTCAAAGAATAAAAATTCATAGAAAATATTGTTGAAAATCAATTTAATCAAATAAAGTGAAATTGTTGTTAGAAAGTTAGTAAATTATATTAAACTAAAATAAAAATAATAAATAAAATATAAAAATATAAAAATTACTAAATTGTTTAAACAATTTAAATTAAGCCCGCGAAAATGCATCGGCCGACCATTTGTCTCCATATATGTAACGTGACCCAAGGTCCTGGAGCCCATCAAATACTCTCACCACATCAGCTTATAGGCCCCACTTGGGTCACAGGCCTGAGCGACAATGCCCGTTAAGCAGCCCATTTGGAGTTCAATATTTAGAGAACTCGTTTCTTTGCTTTCAAGTTGACATGGATATTGGCACCCTTATGAGTTGATTTAGGCTTAGAAAGCTTTGATCCATAAAACCCTTCTTTTTTTTCTTTTTTTTTTTCTTTTTACTGTTTTCCTTTGGTACATGATAAGGGAATATGTATTGCTTAATTATTATATTTTTTTGACAATTAATTATCTTAAAAATAATAAAGTTAAACAATGTTACAAGCTTGTGTTATTCAAAATCACCGTTGAACTTTGAAAAATAGGATCTTAATCTTTTTTCTATTTTTTTGGTAATAAGGAGATAATATATATATATAGATAATTAGCTAGCTACAATAGATCTTGGGAATACAGTCCTGATACAGTCATGATACAAGATAGAAGAAATCCTAGGAGGGCTTTCCTCATACAAAACAAAGTCAATGACAATAGTAGATCCCAGTTTAGTAAGAAAATCTGCAGCCGCATTAGCTTCCCTATAAATATGGTTGATCCTAGCATCAGAAAAGAGACTTAGAAGTGATCTACAATCAGATATAAGAACACTGAGTGAGTGCAAACACTACTAGAAAACAGTATATAATCGATAAAAATATAATCGACAGTCAAAAAACTGTCGATTTTACTTATATTATCGACAAAAACTCTATCCATTATAATAAAGTGTCGATTACATATGTATAATCGACAGTCATTGTGGTTGTTGAATATACTTTCTAATAATCGACAGCCATTTCTGTCGATTATAGCAGTATAATCGACAGCTATTGTGGCTATCGATTATACTTGCTATAATCAACAGAAATGACTGACGATTATACCTAATACAATTTCATATATTTATATATTTAGTAATAAAGATTTAAAACTATTAAATGTAAAATTATTTTTAACTAATATTATACAAATATAT